CAGAGAGAATATATTGCCGAATTCAAATTTAGCTATTAATTCCTATTGATCACCGTTAATTTCCATGATGATCGCAGTGTTTAATAATCTTTAATTAAAACATTAAATTAAAAATAACTTAGGCACGCCCTGCGAATAAACTTTCTTTCTGTGAATTAATTGAATGCAACGAAGCAAGATTGAAGAAGCTGAAAAGAAATTAGTATCCTTGAAGATAAGGATGACACGAACGAAAGCGAGAAATCGAGGAAGTATAATGCCGAATACCGAATCGTCGTCACCCTGAATGAGCGATTGCAACGGCGTCACACGACGCCGACCCTGCTGTCAGGCCCGACGAGGATGAGCCCGAAGGGACCCCAGGGAAACCAGGACGGCCCGAAGATGGAGGTGCGCGTGTCGTGCGTGCCGACACCGGGGGCCGAGCCGCAGGACATCCGCGTCCGTATACCAGAGCCGAAGAAGCGGCCCATGAGTCCTCCTCTTCACGAATCCGTCGCGATGCGCACCAGGTGTCCGTCCGTCCCGGAGAAGGACTTCTACCGGAAGACCTCGTCCCTGGATCGGCGGGATCGTTACTCCACTCTATCGGGCGCGGAGATCAAGCGCAGCCTCGTCTCCGATCCCGCGGAATCGCCGCAGACACGCAAGCGGAATCCGATGCTGGACCGGAGGAACCGATATCCGACCATCACCGGCGCGGAATTCCGACGAAGTATGGCGATCGGCAAGTGTCCTCTCGAGGACGGTCTGGATCTCAGCCTGGCTCCGTGGCCGGGCATGAAATGGGCCTGTGTCCGGGTACTACACCTCTATTGCAAGGTGTTCGACCAGTTCGAGTTGTTTGAGCTGATTGTTAGGTAATTACGTGTACATGACACTTGATGATATCATCGATTGGTATGATCGATTCGATACGTGACACCTATGAATGTACAATTGTATATGAATCTGAATTTTTGTTATTAATATAAAAGATACTATATATATATATTTTTTTTTTTATATTTTATCTATTACATATTAAATTTTAAATCTGTAACACTTGAAACAATTCTTAGAAAATCGTTTCGTATTGCGAGGTTTGGGAAACTAAATTTTTTATATATAAAATTATTGCAAAATCATTCAGAGTATTCATTATTTATTAATATAATCAAAATATATAAATTTATTCGAATTGAAAATGTGAGTTAAAAACGCGCGTTTATTTTTTAACTATAGTTTGAAAATTCTCTTCTAAAAATAAATTCTACGAATAAAAACTTATCTTTCTCTATGTTAATATATTAGAAAGAAAAAAAAGAACTTTTTAAAAATTACTCTATTCAAAACAAGCCATCTTTGATTTAATTGATTCATAATCGTTGACCAAACTTGTTTACGAAACAATGTTACAATCTGATCAATCATCAAGCTTTTAAAAAGCCGCTAACGTTCGGACGGCCAGTGAACACAGCGTGAACGCAATTAGTTGCCGTTAGTATCAATTAGGCGAAGCCTGTAATAGTTTCCCAGTGACTGCTTTACGATGGAAAACGGCGAGAAAGCAACGCCAAGCCAAACCCACCAGAATGATTTATGTCGGGCTATGTTTGTAGGTTAATGAAGTTGATTTTTCGCGCTTGTACGCGTCTGCTCGCGAATCAGATTTTATTAGGCATTCAATCTATCTTTTTATCGTTATTATTATTATCTTATTATATTATATAAGATGCACGAGAGATTGTGTATGTGTGTATGTTGCAAAATAATTTCTTTCTAACACATCACACAGTATTAACTGTAATTGTCAAAGCAATCCTTTTATAAGACAAGATATATTTTTCGTCTCTCTTTCCGCCTCTTTTTTACGCTCGGCCGCGTTAATATAAGATGACACTATGGTATGTCGCGCTTTTCTACTCCTTTTTGCATCATGACAGATCGACTTTCGTGCTTTTTCTTTTTCGCGCGCGTTTTCGACGTCCCTTATGCTTCTGTAAAAAAAAAAAATCTGTCGTGGAATTTATCGCGCTCTCTCTATTTCACACATTACATCTTCTACTTAATAATTTTATTTATCGTATCAATACCGGATATCTAATACAATTCCGAAATTATGTTTGATGTTTTTAAGCCTCGATTGAATCATAAAATAAATTAAAGAGAGATATATAAGATATTTTAGCACGAGCAAATAATGAATTCTTCATAAAACCGTGTAATAATAATTTTATATGAATTCTTATGAAAATTAAAGTATATTGATGGTTGATGTGAGTTCATTAAAATTGGTTATTAAATTCATGATGCTTTTAAAAATAGTTATCACGTGATAAAAAAAGCAGGTGTCATATATAGTAATAAATTCTAATTAAATGTTAAAAAATTCTAAATAAATTTCTAATCTGTGTTTTCCATATTACTATATTTAATATATATATATATATATATATATATATATATATAAATAAATAATTAATTAAA